CCCCACAATAAAATAAATAATAATAATCATAATTAAAAATATTTATTTATTTTTAATTGTGAATGTATATATATATTTTTTTAAATGTGTTCCCTTGGTCTACCTCTCTGACTTCCTGATGTATCTTTAGCCGTTGATGCCATCTGTTTATCTCTGTATCACAGAACATTTTGCATCCAATCATGTTCCCCTGTTGTATTTTGTCTTCATGTTTGCAGTACTGAAATGCATTCATACTTCAGTAAAAATTAATTCAAATAGTCTCAGTAAGAAAAAAAGGAGCAGAAAATGATTTCATAAGTGGCCATGACTGTATTATAATGGTACATCTCTGTAAAGTTGTGCCTCCCATCCCCTTTTTCATACCATCATTTTCTCAATTGTGAAGTTAGAAAACAATGGCTTTGAGTGTGTTTTTTAAATAATTTACTGGTGCTAAAGTGGGAAAACGCATGTCTTGGGGTATGTCATGGATGCCTTGTCTTATAGGCAATGTGGCACCTGAAAGATCAGAACAGTTTGGACGTTTTGGTGGACTAGTTATGTTACTTTGTGGTATCGGTGTTGTTACATGGTGGAAACTTTATATACTGGAATTAGGATATTAAGATTATATAAATTGACTTGGACTGCATGACTTGTGCAGCTTTATTTTTTTCAGTTGACCTGAGCATTTGCTGAGCAGTATATTTTGTAAATAACCACATAAATACAGGGTTAATAGTTATAATGATTGAATACTTTATATGGACCAATGTAATATAGTTAACCAAGTTATTGACAATCTTCTTTTTCTTATAGATACTTTTCTTATAGATACTTTGATAATGTATGATATAATGTCTAAAATATTATTCAAACATATTTTGTTTTACATTGATTCTTATTTTATTCCTTTATAAAGGAGAAGATATTATTATACGCCACATGATAAAAAAAAATTCGGTTTAAGTAGCAATAGAAATGTGAAAATGTAGCATTTGTTCATTTGCATAAAAAATATATACAAAAATATGCTTGCTATCGTGTTCGCTATTTTATTATTTTGTATACGGTGTATTTTTAGTATACTGTAGCAGTAGCATGCTGGTTATAAAGGTGTGAACTTCTCACTAGAAATGAGACAATTGTTTAACATTAGGGTAAAATAAACATAGTAAAAGAGGTGAAATCTGTCCACCACAAGCGCTGGAGTCTTGTTGTCTGCCCCATGTTTATTTGTCTGATATATAATACCCCAGTGAAGCTGTTTTCTGAGACATTAGGATCTGCTGAAGCTGGCCACACATGTATCAGTTCAAGTTTCTGAATGTAGAGACAGCTAATGATCAAATGTTTTAAAACTGACTACAGCTGGCAAGTACAGTAAAAAGTGTAGGTCTCTTACATAAAGCTTCAATCCTAAACACAAAGGACACAGCATAAAGACAGATGGGTTGGCTCATGCGGGATGGTCACCATTCACCTTTATGGTGCATGGAGGTTATCATGCATATGAAAGTCAGCCCTGTAGACATTATTCTGCATCACATTGATAACCCTTCATGCAAGTTTGGCCTGCAGAAGGACATTCTGCAGACCAAAACTGTACTGCTCAGCGCGGTTATGATTGTTAATAATACATTTATAAGTGACTTTGTAGTATGCTTATTATGCCAAACCTTTTTTAAAGGAGAATTACTTTAAATGTTTTTCACCATAGAATGATTATTCTTTATCACCCAATTTTAGCATTTACCTGTACTAAACGCTGATGCTGAGCATTTCCCAATCAATTCTTCCTTCATCTCTTTGCTGAGGAAAAGTGTCATCCAAACCCTTGGTTCTCAACTGGTGGGTTGTGACCCAAAAATGGGTCACGACCCTGTGTTCAGTGGGTCCCCACATGCCTTCCACTTTTCTAGGTGAGAGGCTCCTCTGCCTCTGCCTAGCGCAGCACTGTCAGTTCTCGTGCCAAGCAGCCATACAAAATATGCTGCCCGGCGCCGAGTGTCAGCTTGAGGTGGGGTGGGCTGGTGCTATAGCCGCGAGGGAGCACTCCACTCCACTGGATCCACTCCAGTTCTCATAAGGTAGGGAGACTGGGCGGATCTAAAAAAAAATTGTTTTAATTACATTTTTTTTGGAGTGCGGATGTGTGTGTGTGAGAATGTCTGTGAGTGTGTGAGATTGAACCTACAGCACATTCTGCTGTAGGTTCAATCTCACACACTTTTGAACCTACAGCACATTCTGATGTCGGAGGTGCGTTGGGTTGCCATTCATTTGAATGGTACCCCAAACACACTGGCCACACACAGCTCGTACGCCCGCACTGGAATGTGCCGTACCGTAATTCTGTGCATTCAATTGCAGTGCGAATTGGGTCGCGACTTAATGACCAATGACAAATGTGGGGCCTGAGGTTACTTAGCTTGAGAACCACAGATCTAAACCCTTCAGTGGATCAACATTTGTAACTGGGTATACTCTGGCCCTACCGAATTGTACAACAACCTTACCTTGGATGTAGCACAAATGGTTGGGGTCCTATGGAGGCCAGTGTCATATATGGGTCTTAAAATGTTGAGCCTGTACTCTGTATTCTCTTTGTATCTAGTTAGATGAGAGGGAATGGCCCAAGAGCATTATATGTATCTAGGTAGAAGAGTGGGAATGGCCCAAGAGCAATACAGCCCAATTCACAATCCGTTTAAGCATGGGTAGAAGGAGTTTGAATGCAATCTGGAAATGCTATGCAAGGTCTTGAAGGGCAGGAGATTTGTGAACAGCACAGAGATGAACCTTATTAGCACACCTCTCTAATCCCCCTTTCTGTTCAACAGATTCTTAATGCAAAGCTGATTTTTGCTGATTGGTTTAATGTATTAATTAAAATTGTTTTGCTTTGTAGTCGGTAATCATACTACAGACCATGGAGAAAACGGTTCAGAAGATTGCTATTGCCTCTAACCCAGGAGGAACATATTTCTTACAGATTGGTTGGGAGGAAGATTTAGATAAAGGATTTACTGTAACACTTTGTGATGGACAAACTGCATTGACTGGTGAAGGTAAAAACACTTTAACATTTCAACAATGGTTAATGTGTGGGTTGATATCCCCGGTCAAGTTAGGGCATACATATTTACTCAGTCTGTTGATGTAATACAAAAGTGTTCATTTGGATAGATATTCCAGTTGTTTAAGTGTGGCTGTTACCAATTTATAATTTACTAGCATTGAGTATAGTTTTTGGATGTTATTTTTATAACAACACTGAGATGGATTGTGCAGTAAAAGTAGACTCACCCATTTATTGATCATTTCTGTATAAAAAGCCCAAAATGACTTTCAGTATCTAAACAAGTTGGGGTTCCACATGAAAACGGCAGTTTTAATTTTTAATAAGTGTCGTCTGTAAAAGTGAACAATTCCACAGCTGTCAAGCAGATGCTACAATATCATATCATGTCCCAATAACTATTTAAAAAAAGACTTATGTTTTGTAGGCTGGTGAATAAAGTGCAAAATACCTTAAAGTAGTATTAAACTCTCATTTGTTTTCAGTAATAAATCCAGATCAAATAAATATACATTGCCCTGCAAAGTATTTCTTAAAATCTTTGCCCAAGCACTTTGTCTTTATGTTTCTGAACAGCTGGCTTCAACTCTCTCAGCTCAGCTACCCTGAACTTCCTGTCCAGTATAAGATCACAAGGGACAATAGCAGTCTCCAGCAACCCTCCGTCTACTAGCTTAGAGGAGGGAGAAGCAGGGGGTGGGGGATTAGTTTGCCCTGCTTTGCCTTTGTGTTTGTGGAGACACACACAGCTCATTAGCACACACATGGGTGACTTCATAGGGCCCTGCAAGGGATAGGAGACACCCTAAAACAATGTATCAGGGCCAGTGCTCAAAAGATCAGTTGATTCTGCAGGAAACAAACTATTAAACATCAAGTACCAACATCCATTCTAAGTGATTTGAACTTTTGAAACAGCTTAAAAAAACCGTTGACTTTAATATCACTTTTATACGAATTACTTTACAATAACACATTGAAAAGTATTAATTAAACCAATTTATGTAGAAAATTAAAAACTTTAATTATAATTGCACATATCATTGTATGTATATTGAAGGACAAGTTCACTTTTAGTCCTCTCACCCCCCTGAGTGCAGCCTGTTCCATGGAACATGGCTTACCCAATAAATGTGATCACAGTGTTTTTGTGCACAAAGAGGAGGAGCTAGTGGGGGTGTTTTTTTCATAAGAAAGGTTGTGTGGTGCCAGGCAGGGTCACACAGTGCAGAGCACTGGAGTGGGGAGGAAGCAAGTATTTAACATGGCATTGAGCTGCTCATGTGCAGCTCAGTGCACAAGAAACAAAATTGGTGACAGGCAGGTAGGAGCTTTTTTTGGCAAAAGAGACTTACACAGTCTCTTCTGCTGTAGAAACCTGCCTGTCTGCGGTTTTTACCCTGGACACTTTACTTCCACTTTAAATATTGTTTTGACATGACAGTAGCATAATGGAATCCTTTTGCAGTTTTCTATTATCTGTGTAACATGTCCTAGTCCATGTCAATGGTCAAAGTGAACTAAGCCTCCACTATATGGATAACGATTATTTCACATAGTCTAAAATGCTTGTTTTAGTTTAAATATAAGGAGTTGTTATTACAAGAGTAGGATATGGGAGAGGTATATTTTGCAGCAACATAATGAGATGTCAGTCTATTTGCCTATGCTGTAATTTGCCATTATTTATGTTACGGAGATGCAATCCATCTGATCAACAAAAGTATGACGCAAGTTAACGTGAAAGTCTTGCGGTCTTCATACATAACAGAAGAATTAGTCCTTGTTTTATTTTCCCTTCTGCCTGGGTATCTGATTGCTGTAATCAATGTGAAATTATTTAAATACCTTAAATAAGCAGTGTTTGGGGAACCAACACAATACAGAGCTATAGGAAACTGATGCAGTTAGAAAATGACAAATATGAAAGAATAGAAGACTGGGGTTATTCACAAAGTTCCAAGATCTTAGAATGATCCAGGGGCAATTTGCTCACATCTGGAATTCTTACCTCCTGAATGTTTTCTTTTTTCTTTTTTAAAAGTGTCCACGGAAGATGTATCCAGGGAAGCAGCAGATATAGAGATGGAAAAGGCAAAATATGTTGATGAGTTAAACAAAGCTCTGATTTCTGCAACACTGCCAGCTAGCAAATATAGTTTTGATCTGGTAAAGGATGAAAAGGATTATGACACATACTGCTTTACGTATGAGAAGAAATTAAGGGATGTTTCGGTAAGTAGCACTTTTAATTCTCTTGTTGGAAGCAAATGAGAACATTCTGCAAATTTGGGTATGATGCACTTGTCAGTTTTCTCATGAGAACTTGAACTCTTTGTGGCAAATTTAGACTACAATTGTTTTGGCTTTTCTATAAAGAGAACCTATAAGGGTTTTAGATCAGTTTTATTCTAGTAGCTATGCTTTTTAAACTGTTGTTTTTATGTCTGTTTTTTCATTATCTATATAGGTATAAACATCTATATATGAGTTAACTAAAAATACATAATTAGAACCCAGCCTTGAGACATGCTTGACACCTCAGACTGCACTCCCTGGCAAGGGTTCAGTCCTTGCACTGATGATTCATTTGAGATCTGTAAACAGCAGTTTTATTTCAGCACAGTTGAAGGGTAATCATGCTAAAATGTGAAAAGGAGACCAGAGTTCCACCTGCAGGCTGGATAGAAGATTACATATAGGGCTACAATAACGATAATTTTTATAATCGATTAGTTGGCCGACTATTTTTTCGATTAATCAGATTAAAAAAAAAAAATGAAATACCATCCGTAATTTAAAATAAAATACACAAATTGAGTCATACAAACATAAAGTTTACTTCAGAAAAAAAACTACATGCACAATTTTTTGCAATCGCACCACACTGGAACGCACACCATTGCGGTGCCAAGGTGGGAGGCGCGTTTGTGGTCCACTGAAATTAATAGCACTGCAAAGCACCTCCCGCACCAGATTCAGGGGGGCTTTATTTTATATTTTTTTCCTATTTTTTAAAGATTTTTTAAACTTTATTATTAGGGGCTTTGGAGAAACATTCCTTTTTAAAATAAAACAAGAGATTGAGGACACAGTGTCCTCAATCTCTTTTTCTGCAGCCCTAGCACTCAATTAACAGGAAGCACTAAGTACAGAGACTTCCTGTTTATTCAGAAATCGAGGAGATTGTATATTATGTCCACAATCATGAATGAACAGTAAGTGATGTAGAGCACTTCCTTTTCATTCATAATTGAGGACACAGTATCTGAATACTATGTACTGATCATTGAGATGTTCAAATATTACAGGGAACGATCAGCAAATATTTCACTCTCCTCTATGCACTGTCCCTCTCTGCCTCCTGACAGCTTCCTCCTCCCTGTTGGGTACCGGTAGCTGGATCGGCTCTGTGTCCCCTCTGAACCTTGCTGCCTCTTCTGATAGAGGCGGGGAGAGCAGTGGGGATAAGAGGGGACACAGGCCGCAGCATGCAGCTGGGAAAGCTGCATAGATGATGCAGCGGGGATGGCTTTTTGGGAGGTTTGATGGAGCTCTCCTCACCGCTGGGCACTGGCTGCAGGGGTCTCTGTCCCCTCCGATCCCTTCTGCTCCCAGAGGGGATCCGAGGGGACACAGAGCTGATAAAACACTGGCTCCCCACTTGGAAGAGTGAACTATGGAACCCAGACCAACTAATCCATAATGAGAATCATTGGCAACTATTGCCATTAACGATTATCAATTAATCGATTAGTTGGTTGCAATATCAAATTGGATTACCTGGGGTGATACATGTTGACAAGCTCTGAAAGGTCATAGATCTGTACTTTTGACATAATAATGCAGAGGTAAGCAGCTCGTGGAACTATATGCCCACAAGCCAAAATTTTGAAAGGGAAAATAAATTGTCATTTTGATCAACAGATGTGTGTAAGTCCACCCTTAACAGGGAATTTGATTTTGAGTAGACATCGGTATGAGCAATTGAGGAACAACAACAAAATAAAAGCCCAGATAGAGTGGGCTCTCCTGCTATCTTTCCATGGAAAATGTAGTTTAAAATGGAGGTTGGCAGTCTTTGGCCCTCTGGGGGAAATATATTGCATGGTTCACCACAGTTTGAAAGCAATAAGCTGTCTGGCCAAAGCTGAACCTTTAAAAAAATCAGATATTAAGTATTTTTTATGATTCAAATAATTCTGTCTCTTTCTGCTTCCTGCATGACTTTCCTTTGTTATTAGCTAAGTCTCACTGACTTGTTTTCTTTAGAAACTTCGTAGGATAACGTAAGTGAAGCAAGTTCTTAAAAGTACAAACTATTCTTTCCTTGTTCTAAGTTTATTATTACATAGGGGCAACCTATTGAATTGTTTCCAGATAAAATGGTTGTTGTGAGTATTTTTCAGTCTTCTAATATTTGATAATAGCGCTACTACAGGGGCCATCTAAGTACCGTGAACACTGGCACTGGTGTTTGGTAGTTGTTGTTTTTTTTAATAATTAAATCTAAAGATTTATTCGCTTTTATTTTATCTTTTTTGGTTCCCCCTCCCCTTCGTCAACATGCTAATTACATTTTTAAATAAAAACCTTTCCGATTTCGTTACTTTCCTTATTTAAGACCAAGTGATGCTATCACACGGTTTCTGTGCTTCTCTATGTAATGCAGGTATAGCTGGTTGGAGGGACTGTAATAGCTTCCTGACAACAGCAAACTGCCATAAGAAAATCCCACATGTGTTGCTGAGCCACCATGATTGACAGAACTGAAATCTAGTGAATGAAAGTGGCGGGTCAGGGACTGCTGAGCTGCGGAGGGGTAAGAGCTAGATTATGCAGGATGTCCTTCAGCCAGAAAATGAGTAAAGGTGCCCATACACCTTACGATTATCGGACGAAACTTTTCGTCCGATGATTGAATAGTCGTATGATTTTCGTACGGCAGCCCCATCCTGCCCCGATGATCGCAAGATTAATGTAGCCGTAATTAACGACAAGCACGTGGACAAAATGCGGTAATTGATTTGCCGTATTTTCGTTAGCGCAAGCGCAGTGTAGATCGTACGACTTTTGACGGACGGAAACGCCAGCAACCTTACGACAATCATACGATCTAGCAAAGTTTTCAAACATGCTTGACCGTCAAAAGTTGTACGATTGTACAGTACTGTCGGTCGGACACTGCAATGCACACATACGATTATCGGCCGAAAAGTCGATCGCATATGAAAATTGTACGATAATCGTAAGGTGTAGGGGCACCTTTAGGCTCTATCTGACTTGCTACAGCTTCTGATGCTCACTGCTATAAGCTTATAGTGTGAAATGAAATCCGACAAAGCAATTTCATTGCAGGAGAAGAGAATGCACAACTGTAAAAGACTGAAGGTAAGGCTGGAGTTCAGCCTTAAAATGTAAGTTTTATGTAGCTTAATCAAAAAATCTGTTATATTACAATGTCACATTAAAGATAACATATTTACCACATTTATCACATTACCACTCATATTTCACAGTAAAAAATAACAATAAGATATGTATTGCCCCTGAAAGCTTCCCATAGGTACTTGACAATTATTGCCCAATTTGGTTGTTCACTGGCTTTGGGAAACGGTCCTATGTCTATGGACACCTCTCCTTACAACCTGTCTGACTTTTCTCAGGGCACAGTAATTATTTTTTGTTGTAGAGGTTCCCAAAGTAGCTATTTTGTTTACCCATTATAAGGCTAGCATCAGGGAGGTCTGAATGTTATTTTATGTCTGTGTGTAGGCTTGAGTTTCACTAAAAACGCGTGCAATGGTTCACATAAAAAGATTCTCAGAAGTAACTGCCACTGTACCGAATGTTTATGTCTGTCACAGAATGAAAATGCAATATGCATTAACCTACTCTTTCACTTTCTTGAAACCAATCCCATTCTGGTCCTTTACCTCAGAAAAGCTCTTTGTTCCCATGCATTGCAATTTAAATAATCAACAGGAAATGGATGTACTATATTTCCTATTGTTTAGAATTGTTTATTTCCTGAATCAGAAAACAAAGAAATCCAGCAGGGCGTTCTGCATACGTTTTACCATATGTTTTCCATGAAGACGTGTTTACTTAAGCTCTCGCACTTCAGACACAGAGATGTTCCATGATGGTTTATTAACATATATCATCTGTGCTTCTCAAAAGAAAATCTATGTGTGTCATATTCATTATTGGAGAGAGTTTAGAATGACCAAATGTTTTTACCAAACCAATTTCCCAAATTTGAAAAAATGTACAGCACACAGAAACCATTTTAGTTGCTTATTTTGTGGTTTTATCTAAAAAATTACAATGAATGTTTTTGAACATCTTCTTCAGTTTAGTTAGTAACTAGACTAGTGTGTACATTAAATGTGTTAATGACATTTCTAAGCTAGCCAAATAAATATGGAGTCTTGATTGACTGTACCTGTATGTTGTCCATTTTAGACTGTTCTATATATAACTCCTAACCCCCACCCTATTCCAAACATTTATCAATCCTGTTTCCTTACAATCATCCCGTGTTCTTGCTAGAAAAGGTTTTTTTTTCTTCTTGCATGCTTCTTTCCTGTCTCTTTCATCAAGGCTACCCTTCTTTTTAACACTTCATAATTCTTACTGCCTGCTTTCTACCTCCATCTTCCTTGTTTGGTACTGCAATATCTACATCTCCCCTATTCCCTGTTTTGCTCGTTTTGTACAAGTGATATTGGCAATGCTGCCGATATCACTTGTAATATGCCTGCTTGTCCATCCTCCCCCATCACCCTCCCCTCTCAATGGCCCGCCCCCACCTCTGGCTGCCTCCCTCTGCTGGCCGCCTCCCTACCCGCTGTGGTTTTCCGGGCCTCCCACTCTTCTGGGGGACCTGGGACCACAGCACTGTAGTTCAGGATGGAGAGCGTGGAGCAGAGCGGAGAGGCAAAGCTGTCTCAGCATGAGGCAAATGCCACTAAGCCCCACCCCCCACACATTCTTATTGGCCCCAAACTACATGGCAGATAATTTTGGAGAAAGAGCCTGGGAAGTGAAACTGACTGTGGTAATTGGTGCAGACTTGTGTATTTATTTCAGCTTTGTTGGAAGCAGGCATTACCTGTAGTTGGGACCACCACTGTAACATACACTATAGTGGCAAAAGTATTGGGACGCCTGCCTTTACACGCACATGAACTTTGATGGCATCCCAGTCTTTGTCTGTAGGGTACAATATT